AATAAAAAAAATCATGAATAGATAATATAGTCTGCAGAAAAGTTCAATTAAGAAATGAAATAAAAGGTCAATAGTGCAGAAGAAACAACCCTATAACCTTTGTTGTTGTTGTTGTAAGGTGCCATTGAGTCAAGTATGACCCATAGTAACCCAATCAACAACAGATGTGAACCCTGCCTTACCCTGTGCCATCCTCACACTTGTAATCCTTAGGCAATGGTGAAGACACAGGATTCCTTCAAGAAAGAGACAACTGATAGGAAGAAACCATTCATATAGAAGAGATGAATAAATATAAATTTCAATTTAACCATATAAACCTAAGGGAAAATTTTTAATCTTACTCCATTCATATTCTTATTTGGGATGTCACTTCTATTTCTATTTTGATTTCCTTAGTTGATTCTCAAAAGGCTTGTGTTGCCTTTTTAAAATGTTGTTTTGTTTTATATTTGTGTACAAACTCATATAACTTTTGTTTCATTCATGTATATTGTGTTTCACACATTCTTTCATCCACATTGTGCACCTCAAACGTTTCGATAAAGGATTATCTTAGGAATATTTTATGAATCTCAGGAGATTTTTTTACGTGTTTCGTGATAGCGTCAAGGGAATGATTTCCAAAAGAGGTCCCTGGGCCACTTTGAGTAAGAACTAGAAAGTTCAGACTCAGATATGGAAGAAAGCCACCCACCAACACTGGGCGAGAATAAGGGAAAGAAATGGAGGTTTGTTAAAGGTTTACTATGGACTATGAACGGGTCAGGAAGTCTGCCCATATCCTTATCTTATATTGTTGTTGTATTATATATGAATAAATAATATATGTTTTTCAGTGGGGGTCCAGATTACCCAGCTTTATAGTCGTACACAGTTTCTGACACATTTATTGTGGCCCTTGGTTTCTGCTCTTCGTGGGTTGTTTTTTAGAGTTTCATACCATTGTCCAGAGTAGTTTCTGATTTTTTTACTTTGTTACCATCTCCTTTACTATTCCCTTTCTATAGCTTTTATCTAGGCCAATATTTTGAAAAAAGTTTGCATAGGAAAGGAACTTAGAGGCTACTGCTTTTTTTTCGTATAGAAAGTAGACTTGTCTTTTGAGTACTATGACAATGGTAATGCTTTCTTTTAAGGCAAAGTTTCTCAAGGACTACTCGCAATGTCCTCAAATCGTTTTCAGTTGTCCATTGTGCGCTTAGTATTCACCTGGGCCTACTTCCCAAATTGCTCCCTTATGACTGGAAGTTCATAATCTTTTAATGTACTTTGAGCATTTCCACTTGGTTCTAAACTATATTTCTTTCCTCGAGAATGAAAAAGAAGCAAATGCCAAATGAGGATCTTACTTAAATTTACACTAAGCTCTTTCATCTCTAATGCACACATCTTCTCGAACTGTTTATTCCTGGGATAACGGAAAGCAATTGCCTTAAGTGCCTAACACAATATACACACATCTCTTTATAGAACTTCAATGCTATACACAGATCTTACCGGTTTCAATATTTCTGTGTTGGTGTCCATGGAGAATATATCTCATGTGACATATTCTTGCAATTTGTTTTGAATTACTGTATTAACCTAAATCTATTGTCTTTCCTTTCAAGGTGAGCTGAAGAAATTACACAGTATCATAAACTGAAAATCTGGGAAATGAGTAATGAAATATTAAGTATTTCTTATAATAAAGAAATCTAATCTACATTTCTGAGGAAAATCTAATTAAGAAGTTTATTCCCATACAGAGAAAATGCTTACCTATGCTGTGTGTGTCTTTCAGTGTACCTTATCATCAACAAGTTGTTGCAGTGTGTAATTTGCTGATGTTAACGTTCTCAGACGTTCACACAGATGTTCAGTTTTATAATTTACTATATAATACATTACTGGATTTATAAAGTCACTGATAATTAAAGAAAATAATGAAAACTAAAATATGAGGTATTCAGCTTGACATCAGAACCAACTTATTTGCTCAGAATGGAAAACAATTTTAAGGTGGGAACGTCTTGTATAAGTAAACACTTTGTCGATTTCAAGTGTTTATCCCATCAGAATCACAAATGACCTCAGTATGTCATGTGCACTTTATTTGCATAATGAGCTGCTGCATTCATTTCATGTATATATTAACCAATCTTCATAAAGTGTGTGAAAGAAATCAATCATGGAACAAACTACAACCCCATGGGTAGGAAAAAAAGTAATATGGAATAGATGATTACAGTTTCCTATGGCACTCAATTAGGACAATTCTTTCAAGGTAGAAAAGTAGGGCAAAGGTAACTCTTCCAGGTTTAGGAGGCAGATAAAAAAGCTTAAATTTTATTTTCCAAAGAACCAAGGTAAAAGAATATAGGAAAGAATTTATCTTACCAGTCACATAGTTTAGTAGTTGATTGGATTAAGGCTGGAAGTATAAATAGCTTCTGGAGAAAGGAAGACATGGAGATAATGTCAAAGTTTTCTGCTTGAGCATTTAAGATAAAGAGGAGTACATGCCTATAGGACATCAAAAGGTGGTAACAGTTAAACAGTTGAATATATGGATTTGGAGACCGAGAAGAGATTTAATCTGGAGAAAGAAATCTGTGGATCACCAACACAGAGGTGATAATTATAGGATAAGACTTCAAGGAAACCTTTCAATTCATAGATTTATTTCATTATATTTAGAATTATAAATTCTAAAATATAATGCATTAATGTACTTAATAATATAAATTAAGTTATGTTGAGATTTAGTGGGAGAAAAATGCTTACTTACACTTTTTAATACGGATTGCAATTTAAAGTCAAGAAAACAAAAATCTCACCACAACAAGATAAAGGTAAACAATCCAGTTGAAAAATGAGCACAGGATATGAACAAACACTTCACCAAAAAAGACGTTCAGATGGCAAACAAATACATGAAGAAATGTTCAATATCCCTAGCTCCAAGAGAGGTGCAAATCCAAACAACTATGAGGTATCACCTCACCCCAGTAAGAATAGCAAAATTTAACAGAACTGCTAACAAAAATGCTGGTGAGGTTGTACAGAAACTGGAAACCCTTATTCACTGTTGGTGGGAGTGTAAAATGGTGCAACCGTGTGGAAAGCAGTATGGCACTTTCTCAAAAAGTTGTCCCAACAATTCCTCTGGGAATATACCCCAAAGAAACGATAACTGCCACCCAAGGAGATATATGCACACCCGTGTTTATCTCAGCTTTGTTCACAATAGCAAAGAGTTAGAAACAACCCAAGTGTCCATCAACAAATGAATGGATAGAGAAGTTTTGGTATATTCACACAATGGAATACTATGCTGCATTGAAAAACAAGGAACTCATGCAATATTATTCAATATTATGCTGAGTAAAATATCTCAGTCACCAAAGGACAAGTACTGAATAATGTCACTGTTGTAAAACTGTACTGGCTAGGGGTTGGAAGGAGACAGAGAAAGATGGGATAAATAATGGATACTGCACTGAAACAGATGAGGGAGAGAACTGTTTAAAGGGATGTGTGATTAGGTATTATTGTCATGACAAGAGTCCAGAACAAAGGCTGCATAGTGGAATGGACTTGGGTAGAGAGATTGTATAACAATGACAGAATTTTTTTTTTTTTACTTTTCAAAAAGAAGTGCTAACTGAGAGGGAAGGGGAGCAGGGAGAAAAGTGCAACAATGAATGAATGGAAACCCAAAGTCTCTGTAAATTTTCATTAAAATTAATAATATAAAAAAAACACAACACCAAACAACCAAAACTCTTTCACCACTGGGCCAATAGGCAACATCATAATAGGTGGAGAAGAGTTAAACATTGTCAATTA